TTATCCCATCGAGGGATTGTGGTCCTGAATGCGGACACGCTGGCCTACGGATAGCCTTGGAAGAGGACGGGCATGGCTATCATAGAGGCTAGTCATTTGGTCGGCTTGGCCAGCGGCGCGGCGGTCCCAGTCGTCAGACTTGGTCTGCCACTCTGCAGAGAAGGACTGGGGGTGGGCAGGGACACAAGTCCGAAGAGGATGGCCATACAAAATCTGGGCAGGAGAGCGGCCAGCAGGGTTTGGGGTGTTCCGGAACTCTAGCAGGCCCCGGTCGAACGCCTCACAGTCGATGTTGCCGTCAGGCGCCGTCTTGAGGATCAAGTGCTTCACGGACTTGACCGCAGCCTCGGCGTGGCCATTAGACTGTGGATAGTGTGGGGACGTCACAAGGTGGTGGACACCCCAGCGTTCAATAAACCTCCTGAATTCCTCACTGGTGAATGGGGGCCCTCCATCGGTCCTGAGACGAACAGGTACACCGACTTCTCGGAAGTACTGGCAAAACATGCGCATGACCTTAGTTGCGGTTGTGTCCTGACCACAGAAAGTAACCACGGGCCACCCTGAAAGTCTGTCTGCAATGACCAGGAAAGACTTCCCAGCTACTTGAAAAAAGTCAGCGGACACAGACTCAAAGGGGCGTGATGGCTGGTCATCGCATAGGTAGGGTTCCTGCTGTTGGCTGGGCTGCAGACGTTGGCAGGAGTCACATTCTTCGACTGTACTCTTTATGTCAGAGTCGATACCAGGCCAGTAGACAGTCTGCCTGGCGCGACGATGGGTGGCTTCGACTCCTCTGTGACTATCGTGGAGGTGGGTCAAGGTGCGACGGCGGAGTGTAGCAGGAACAACAATGCGGGGACCATGTAGCACAAGCTCTCCATCTGCGTACAGGCTGTCCCGCAATTTCCAGTACGGGAGGATGGAGGCGTGTAGGCTGTAGTGGTTGGAGGGAAATCCTGTGGTGACGTACTCCAAGAGGCGGCGGTAATCTTGGTCCTGTGATGCGACGGCGCGAAGCTCCTGTAGAGTCCTGTCGTCATCGAGGATAGGAGCTGTGGCCTGGCCGTCTGTTGAGGTAGCATTCGTAGAAACAAGGGACCGGACGTGTGCAGCTGTCATGGTACACTCTTCTTCGTTGTCGAATGTGGGGTGGCTGACAGGTGCCCGAGAGAGGGCGTCAGGGACGCACAAGGTCTTGCCGGCGCGTCACACAGCGGTGAACATACGGAGCCATCTTCACTCTCAAACGCTGGAGTCGGGGGTTTTCTATGGCATCCAACGTGTAGTGGTTCAGGATTGGGATCAATGGCCTGTGGTCAGTATGAAGGGTAAGTGCTGGAGGCCGGCAAGGTACAGGCGGCACTTTCCCATGGCCCATGAAGCAGCCAGCATCTCCAGCTCGATTGTGGCGTAGCGTGACTCGGCGTCGGTTAGAAACCGTGAGCCACACTGGACGAGCCGGAGCTGGCCGTGGCCATGTTCCTGAAATAGGGCGTATCCCAGACCATAGAGGCAAGAGGCGTCAATTTGTAGAGTCACTGGCAGTTTTGGGTTGAAAGGAGCCAAGACTGGGGGCGATAGGAGGGCAGCCTTGACCTTCCCGAATGCCTGGTCATGGTCTGGGGTCCAAGTAAAGGACCGTTTTGGTGACATCAGAGGGCGGAGAGGCTGGGCAGTGGCCACAATCTCTGGTGAGAAGTCGCCAGCTGATTCACAAGACCCATGAACGACCGGAGGTCCGTAATATTGGAGGGTGTAGGGTAGTCTCGTATGGCTGCAACCTTTTCAGGGTCTGCAGTGATGCCCTCTGGTGAGATGTTATATCCACAAAAACTGGCCTTGGTGGCGGCTACCATGAACTTGTCCTTGTTCAAGGTTATGCTGTGGGCGCGACACCTGGATAGCATCTGGAAAACTCGTCGGAGGTGAGTCGGTAAGTCACTGTCGAAGAGGAGGATATCATCCACTACCTTTACGCAGTTGGTGATGCCTTGCAGAGCCAGGTCTCCGCGAAGACAGTAGGCATCCCCAGTAGCGGCAAATCCCATAGGTCCTCTGCAGTGGTAGTAGCGCCATGAGGTGTTATGAACGTCGTGAGGTGACGGTCTTCCTCCGCAAGGTCCATTTGCCAATATCCATGTAATGCATCTGCCTTAGTAAAGAACTTGGCAGATGGAGTGATGGTGCGGATAGCGTCAGCGGGTGTGGGCGATGGGTGTGTAGGCCTGGACACTTGGAGTTAAGGCGTGTGAGGTCCACTGTGATGCGTACACATTGCCAGGCTTAGGTACCAGGACCATCGGATGGCACCACTCGGAGGGCTTGTCACCGACGGGCGAAATGATCCCTTGCTGCACCAGGGAATCAAGTTCCTCCTTGACCTGGTCCCGGTAGGCGAAAGGTATAGGTCTAGGCGTGTGTATGGCAAAGGGTGTCGCACCTGGCTGAAGGTGGATCCTCATTGGTGGCCAGACATCTTCTTCAGTGGCGTAGTCTGGAGGTCAGTCTTAGACACAAGGACGTCGCTGAAGTGTTGTAGGAAGTAGGTCCGAGCAGTAGTGGGGACGACATTGCCGAGGCAGGCATCTGCTGTGCACATCTGTTGACGTGGGTCACAGAGAGGATGGGCTTTGGGAAATCTAGAGAGACGATGGCCAAGTCCACGCAGTGGCCATACGAGAGCAGAGGTGTCTGGATGTCCTCGTGAACGTGAACAATGGCCTTGCAGGACGCTTGACCGAGCTGGAGGGGTCTCGAAACAACCCAAAGCTGGAGTCATGGATGACCCATCTGCTGTGAGGACGTCAGTCGCAGGCGGGGGTGAAAGATTGCATCTGGGGATTCCAAGGATTCCAGTGCTTCGGGCCAATCACCGTGATATCAGCTCCAGTGTCAGGTAGCATCAGTAGTTGGGAGGACTTTGAGCCATAGGACAGGGTGATATTGACTGGCTTAGGGGTCCTGCCGGTGGACACTCTACGTGCTCTAAGAGTCTGGTTGGTAGAGGTCTTCCTGGTGGACTTGCAGCACTTGGCGAAGTGACCCTGTTTGTGGCAAGTGGTGCATTCAGAGTCCTTTGCTGGGCACCGGGGCGTACGGTGCCAATGACCCTTGTACCCACAATTTGGGCAGGTACTATTTTTTGCTGGGCAATGTCCCACGGCATGTTGACGGGTACAAGACCTACAGGAGGCGAGCGAGTCCTTGGTCAACGGTGGAGACTGACAGCGTTGAGGCATGTGCTTAGTCGTAGCTGTCATCTTCTGGCGGCGTTGGTTCCTCTTGTATGAAGAGAGGATGTTGAGTTGGCTGGGGGCAGCAACGATAGCAGATGCAGCTGCCCTGGAGGACTCAAAGGTTCTGCAGCAGGTGACAAAGTCATCTAAAGATGCCTGGCTGTCGAGGGACAAGGCGCTGCACGAGTTCCTCTTCACGCACGCCCAGCAAAAGAATCATCTTAAGCTGTGTTGTAGCACAGGTAGTGCGGTCCCCTGTGCAGAGTTTAACTTCGTCAGCTAAGTCCTTCATGCGGGTGTAGAAGGCAGAGAAGGGCTCACCAGGCGTCTGCTTGCAGGAAAGGAGTTCCCGGCGTCGTAGGGCTTCGTTCTGCGAGTTGCGGAAATACTGCTGTAAAGCGTCGAGGACTTGGACTACTGGCATGGATGAGTCAGGAGGTATTGCCAGAGTGTAATGCAGCAGCCGCTGAACTTCCAGCGAAACACATGTGCGGAGGTATATGTGTTGTGTGGCTGGGGGTAGACTGTGGAGGCCCATTAGCACAGAATAGTCCTCGAACTTGCGACGCCACTGACGGAACAGTTGGTAGGTGACGTCGGACTGTAGCTGAGATCCTGACGTGGTGGCAACAGGTGGAACAGGCGAAAGCTGGTGAGCAGCTGGTGCTTGCTGTTCTGGGCTGGTTTGCTGTACCTGGAGGGGCTTGGGAGCTATCATGCTGAGTAGCTGCATGAAACGTTCGTCGTTTAGCTGTCGCTGTTGCTCCATTTGAAGACGGTATTCTTGTAGCTCTGCTCGTCGTGCTTCTTCGTCTTGTCGTCGTCTTCCCTCGTCAGAAATGCGGGTGACTTGGAGGTAGTGGATCAAATACTGCAGCTCTTGGTTACCTGGACTGTGCTGCGAGGGGCTGGAAGGGTGAGGGGTGAGAGGGGGTGGGAGGGATGGTGGTACATCGGCCTCACCACTCTCAAGGACGTTTGGCTCGCCGCTGTCATCACTACCATCACCCAAGTCATCATTTCCGGCCTGAAAATGGTCTTCCTGAGGCGTAGCCATATCGAGTTTGGTGTCTTTGACGAGCTGATCTTACAAACAGTGCAATTTTAGTGCCTGAAATAGTGCAACGATTCGTTCTTGGGCGTGAATATCGAAAAAAAGAACGAATTCTTCTACAGTTCGTGGTAAGTGCATGTGTGGCGGGGAGGTTTTACGCGTTGCTGGAACGGCCGCGCTCGTGATGGCGGTTGAGGCGAGAAGTCCAGTCAGTCACCGGAACTCGGAGGGGCTGGACGCGCTTCGAGCGCTCTCCGGGTTGGCGAGAAAAAATGGTGTTGCACTAGGGGTGATGCTGAGACTCCCGCAAACCTTCCCGACACAATATGCACTAACACTGCACTATCACTTATCACTGAATTATAAACTGTTGGACACTGTAAGATCCGCGACGAAAATTCAAATTTAGGAGGCGGGAACGACGGTTGCTAGGCACTGAGGGGAGCAAATCGGCGCCTTCCAGGTTCACTTGCAGAGTTTATACTTATCACTGCGCCATCTTCTGTGTTCCTTTGTCTGTAGGTTCTTGAAAACTCAGATTTGCAAGTGACCTTTATTGGTGCAAAATACCACACACATCAGAAGTACAAACGGGCAGGTGCAGGACAAAACAAATGCAACCTGCAGTCTCCTCGGGCTCAGCTGTCTCGCTCTCTGATTGGCTGAGGGGTTTGGTGCCTGCCTGGAATGTCCGAGGGACCATAACTATAAAAGTAAAGTAAGATGCAGGGCTTACAAATAAAATGTTACATAAACCAAATGGTACACTGTATATAATAATAGTATCTATACACAAGGATTAATTAAAGGTGAAATAAAAATAAAGTAAATTAATAAGTCAACAACTTGTGACATATTACTGAAGAGGATGTGATATGATTTTTTGTTAAATGGGATGATGATTTAGTTAGCAGGAGAGAGTGACACTAATTACCGAAGAGGATGTGATATGATGATGAGTTCGTCATGTCGTCTTAGCCGGGAGGGTTAG